TTAATAGAACTATATTTACTTTCCAAATCTATTTATATCTGAATACTTCGGTAGCGAGATGGTTCAACCGAATATAGGTTTCTAGGGACTATTAGTGTTACCTAGTTTAACATCCGTTCAGGCAACCAGATGTGTCAATCTGATGAAGGCTAAGTCGGTAATTCTTGATCTATGGACATCAAGAGTATTTTTCTTTTTCGGTTTCTTTTTCTTCTTCTTCTAAAGATAGGGTTTTATGAGTCTCTCGGATTCGCCCCAATGAAACATACCGTAGGTTCTAATAGAGCGACAACGAAAAACTAAATAAAAATACCTTCGGCGAAAACAGTACTGAGAGGATTATATATATAGGCAATGTCTCAGCATCACAATCCCTCAGAGTATTGCTGTTTTCACGAGGCATACCTAACTTTACAAAAAGACTCATTTCGTTTATTTACTTCGAATTTCACGATACTTAGGCTTAACCTACGCGTTTAATTACTCTAAGGCGTTAATATCGCCTTGATAGACCGAATCTTACACATTTTAAAGTTAACAAAGGTATTAACCACTTAGACTACTTGAACGTAAAGGTAGATAACTTCCACGAAATAATTCCTAACCACAGTCATTCCTTAATAGACAAAGACTGAAGTCATAAGTTAAGATTATGACAAAGAAAGACAATACACCTGCAAAGATACGCAAGGCTGAATGTATGAATATGGAGAGAGAAGCCGCTAGCGCTGCCGCAGCTACTGCTGCCGCAGAAGCAACCGCCACCGCTGCCGATGCGTTTAATCGTACCGTAGCCGAGGCACTTGTCTCCGACAATAATAGTCAATAGGACAATGATTCGGATACGGATGTAGCCACTCCGTTTAAGGAGACTACTCATACAGATAGAGCCCGAGGGCCAACTATTGCTTCAACTTCAAGCTTGCCTTTACGAAACCAAGAAGTGAAACAAGGGATACGTCTCAAGACGCCCCAACCCATTCTTCTGACGAAAATCAGAATGGAAAGTCCCCAATTGTCAGGGCGTCCCCAATTATAGGGGACAAAGACGAATCTCAGAAGGTACCTATACCAGAACCAGAAGAGGAGGCAAGCTCAAGTGGCAAACCCGAATCTACGTCCGAGACCACTGAACCAACGCGCATAAGTAAGTTAATTACTGAAAACACTGATCTTAAGAATCAGTTAGCCGCCCTTATGAAAGACATGACTGTTAAACATGTAGATCGAATGTACAGATCAGGAAAACATCCACAGCACTTACGCGAGCATGTTTCTCCGGGCACTACTGAAGCCCTACAGAAGTGGACAGAACGTCGACAGGCAATTACGCCCGAAAAGCGTAAAGGCTTGAGCGCTATACCCTACGAGGTACTACCACCAGAAGTTTAGGCTAATTACTCGCCTATTCTGACACTCGGCCGTGAGTCACCCGTCCTCGAGGGTAATATTGACCCAGAGGCAGGTAGAAATACTCCGCCACTTGTACCTATTTGGGATGATAACCGTCGGAAACCAGTTAAGTCTGGGTATGTTATCCAGATGCATGGATCTCCCAAGGTTATAATACCAACCGCTATCCGTGGAACAGAGCATCAAAAGGCCTCTACCATGGATTTTACAAGGGGTAATAAACATCCCCGTAGACGTGTAAACGATGTCGAGGTGACCACAGCATTACACCAGCCCACAGAGGATTTCCACTCTGACGAGGTGACCGACCTTAATAAATCGGTCGACGATTATACCATGAAAATGGAATAACCCATGATGCACATCATGCTGATGATGTAGCATACTATGCGAATATGATTGCGATTAAGCAAAAGCGCATAGATCAGTTACTTCAGGCCCAACGTGGACAAGACCACAGGGACAACCAGAAGTACAAGGGACAGATCAGTCGACTTAAGTCGAACTGGGATGCCAACATCAAGCAGTATAAACAATCATGACTTCGACACGGTAACCCGTACGCTTAATGCGTTTACAGTCATGCTGGAGGCGAATGATATCGCTCCCCAGCAATGGATCGCTGCTTTAGTGCAGATGTTTGACCCTACAGGCACAAGTTATTTGATCCTGCAGCGACACCAGCATGAGCTAGACACTTGTCGTAACTGGCCAGCTATGTGCTGGTTGGTTACATCCATGTTAAGAAAGGACATGCGTAGCCCTGGACTGAGTTCAATTTTAACTGAACCAGTTGAGAACACGCCCATTCAGAGTTATATTCTGAAGCTAGATGCTGACCTGAAACGTCCAGATATAGCAAAGGACAAGGCACAGCGATGGTACGAGTTCCTGGTTATGCACGTGTTCTGTAAGAACATAGGGAACAACGACCGGGATTGCGACGTAAATACGCTACTGATGCTCGAGACAAGGGACATGAAACAAAGTTTCATCTATTCCGACTTAAGTGGGAACAATTTTATGATTATGTATCCACTCTTTCCCCCGCACACCGAGTAACCTCGAAGAGAAAGGCGGTAAATAAAAAACTGCGCGAGCTCACTGATCAAGGATACCTCTCACGCCAGACGTCAGATGATAAACCTCATCAGACGCGTCCTAACCAGACACGTACTCGCGACTCCACTCAATCCATGCGACCCAATAAACGGGCACGCGCGGGCGAAGGATAAAGAACCTCCATTTAAGGAGATAAAGAAATGTGCCGACGTACATTGCGGGTATGACATGTACCAATTGACCCTTAACGGGTATTTCGTTCATCTGTGTTTGTACCCACTTAAGGTGGTACGGCCAATCATCTGCATCATACGTTAATGCAGTACGCAAGAAGAACTTAAGTCTTCTATGGCGCGTTTCATTCGCGCCTTGCGTTTGCGTCTTATATGGCACACCTCCCTTATTGCGTATGCCTGATACGAGTACTAGCGATTCCATTACGTCATCGCAGAACTCGCTACCGTTATCAGTGCACATAATACCCGGCCACCCGCTGGTTATGCGAACTTCTTGGTATTTATGTTGTCTTATTGATGACACGCGGTTGTGCCCCCCCCCAACGGACTGGTCTTAGTCCGGAGCCAGCCTAGAGCGCTGCACCCTCCAAAAGGTCCTCCTTTTTCATCCTTTGCCCTACAAAAATTAATCAAAATGCTCGCTTCGCTCGCTCCCGGCATAATAAAAAAAATCCAAAAACGTCTGTGACGCTATTTGACCTATTTGTAAACCCCCAGGGAGTCCCACCCTCCAGAAGTAATTCCTAAGGGCGTTTACTCACTGTACTGGTTTAAAAATAAAAATAAAAATTATACTACCTTTTTAGTCTTGAATATGCCTCAAAATATGAGCAAATAAATTACCCCTACGATTATTCGTTTTCAGTTCCCGCGGCGTCCCAGCCGTGTTCTACATATTATAAAATAAATAGATATTTATACTGATCTGATTGTCAGAGTGTCAGATTGGTCTGTCAGATTGTCTGTGTCAGATTGGTCTGTCAGATTGTCTGTGTCAGACTGTCACTGAGGGACGCGAATTTCGGAATTTGACTTGTTTGTAAAACTATTTTTGTTTTCTTTCCACAAAAAATTAAAAAAATTAAAATACAGCACATTTTGATAAATAAATAAATATTTGTTACGTCAATAATATAAATATATCTATTCCGAGCACTCCATATATTAGGTTATAAATAGAATGCCAATCGCCATGTCTCATATTTTTTAGAATCGTGTAGATAACATGAGAAATTGAGAATGTGGACATACCGTGATGTCACTGACATGTATACTGAAGTAAAGTACTCTATAGTAATCTAAAAATTGGTTGGGCTTCCAAGAGTAAATTCTTCGGCTTCTCTTGCTCACAAGCGTGTTTACTGTTTCAAAATGCTGAAGTGCTTAGGGAGCATAAAACGGGAATCTTCAATCTATAGAGGATAAATAGAGGCTCAATGAAAGCTATGTACATACACACAATTACTATAAAACTAAACACGCCCATCACAGTCATTGTCATTACAACATATACAGTTACTCATTCATACATAACAGCATCACAAACACAACCGCTGAAGATGGTGTTCACTCAAATAACACTAATATTGTGCGCAACACTGCTTTTATCAGGCACCAGTATTGCCAGACGCCAAGCAGAAAGTGACTATAATGAGATTTTCAATACCTACAACTATCCCTTGACTTGGTCAGGTAGATATCTAGAATGGAAAGGCTACAATGCTGAGACTCTGCAGTTTACAAGCTTTCCCGCCATGGATAGTAGTAGCGAGTTCAAGACCGCGGACGGTATTTGCTTGATACTCGCAACGACCAATGGATTCTCCACAGTTGAAATCGGTGCATGCAATGGTCAGCTGTTTACACCTGTTTCAACCACGAATGAGCTGAGGAATGAAAATCCCCCGATTGGTGTGTGTGCTGAAGAGGATAGTTTGCAATACTTCAAAGCATGTCCCTCTACAGAATCTGGAGAACTGTGCCTCGGAGAAAATGAAGGATACGCATCAGTTCGACCCTGCAGTGGATATGTGGCTAAGTTGCTGATTCAAAACTTTGATGAAGGAGACAAGCCCAAACCAACAGAGGTGACGGAGGCGAAAGGTTCAGGTACAAAATACTCATGTGCCGATGTGATCTGGTACGTTAACGTAGTGGATGAATACTTCAATCCAGCAGCCTCAAAACAGTACCCTGTATTTCAGCGCTTGGCCTGTGTACAGGTATCTGATAGCAAGTGGTATGCAACCGAGACTATTCAGCACGGGAAAACTTGCATAGCGAATACAGATCGTTCTGCCTGTAAGGAGTACAATACGGTATTAAACTGCCGGACGGCTCAGTACAATACCGAAAATATTATGAAATACAATGGCCCGGATTTCAATCTCATTCGTGAAGGAGCCATGTGCTTGTGAGTGGACCCAGAATCGACTTCACAGTACAAAAGCATGTATATTCGTGCCTTTTACGAACAATCAACGGGTCTTACCAATTGGATGGCTGGTGATGAAGTTGGCAAGTGTGACACGTACGCCAATGGCAAAGATTGCTTTGCGAAACTAACTAAAATTCCCGATGTATCTGGCACTAAGGAATGTGCCGACAAGGATCAAAGCAATGAAAGTAGCTGGTGCTACCAGGTTGCGCAGTTCATGACGTTTTACCACTTGTAGAGAACAAATACGTAGACCAATAGACCTCGGCTTGAAAAAGACCATCAACGAGTTAGTTTGTTCAATACACTGCACAATATATAAATAACAGTAATAAACTAGCAACAGATCCGCTTGCCTTGAGTATGTTGAACATAAAAAACATGGTTTATATTCCAACACGGAACGAGGTATAAGAATGTTGTTCATACTGATTCTTATTTCTCATTTATAATCAATTAGTTATACATCTCTTCGCCCCTCGCCTTGTGTTTTAATAGTCACCACAGTGGACAGCGGCAGACGGCTTTCGCCGGACTGTTGTCACTCACTTTTATTTTACAAAAAAAGACTATACAAAAACTAAATAAAAAACCTGGATACCGGTGGCGGCGTGGCCCGTGGTAAATACTGCCGCACTGGGCGGGGAAGGGGGCCAGGGGTCCGGACTGGCCTCAACTGGATCTTAGACTCTTATAATTCAGGTCCGACAGTCAATGCATTTAGACATTTGGTGGTTTGTAAGTAGCAGCTACAAAATTTTGTACTGTGCGAACTTCACACACATGCTTTGGATCTTGACACTCATCGCTCTAATAAACCCTCATAGGCTTTTTTCCTTGTATTCACTATTTACATTTCCCGGAGCCTAATAACTTTATTTATATTTACGGGCCTTGTATTGTCAATTGACAATTTGTCACACTATTGTTTTAAAAACTATTTGCTTTTCATTGGAAGGCAACTTGGAATGTATGGAATTCTGGAGTATTTTCTGGACTACTCTGGTGTCTCTGAAGACTGAAGTCTGAACAAGTGAATATTGAACTATTTAATACTGAATCATCTGCTTCATACATACTTGATACATATGTAGCAAAAATATATTTTGTTTAAAAAAAAAAAAACAATAGTATGTAGGGCGGAGGCCCTGCCGGCCGCCGAAGACTCGGGGAGTCGGGGAGGGCCATATTCGCCCCTCAGGCATCAGCCATCATGTGATGAACTGATGATCAAGATTGCTTCATAAATATGTAGCCTCCCGAAAGCCAAAACCCAAACCCATATTAGGCAACAATCTAATGCCTCAGGTCCACAGATGAAAACAAATAAATTCGTCAATTTTTAGTGTATTGAAATATATATAGGTCGAATGTAGGCTGTTCTCCGTACATCTCCATCTTAGAGACGTTGGAGGATATTGAGACTTTCCAATCACGAAGAGTACATAAACGAACAGCATGGGCTACATCACATTTATTAGGCAGTATGTGATTCGATTGTTTCCTTGTTCATTTTTTACCCAGTGGTGAATCCTTCTTCGCCATTGTCTCGCATCCTGAATCTCTCATAATTATAAGCAGCTGGTATATTTTCAGGTGAACACCCTAGAAAATAAATCGCTGCGATATATACTGCTGATACAGTAATGTATATATATATATATATGTATATATATATATATATATATATATATATATATATGTATATATATCATATATATATGCATGCATACATGTATATATATATATATATATAATATATATATATATATATATATACATATATATATATACATACTATATATATATATATATACATATAT